ACTCACATATGTATGTATGCACATACGTTCATACACAATTATGTTCGTTAACATTACTCTATATTGATAATTAGTGCTAAGCTCTTGTACATTTCTTATTAACGCCAAGAAAAAAAGCAAGTGAAATTATTTCACTATTTTTAATGATAGGCCGGCATTGGCGGAGTTGTGCTATTTTGCAGTGAATTTGCTGATTTTCTGTTAAGAATTTGCGGTAGGAACACATTTTTAAAAATCTCATTAGTAATACACACCACTTGTTTATAAATAATAGTAGCATGGCTATGCGAGGGTGGTTCATAAATGCACCAAAAATAATTGCACATTTCTTTGACATATCGATGTCCAAGAACCAACTCACAAATGACAAGCGAATTGGACACTTTAAGGGTCGCAGTGGTGTGAGCGTGTCTGAGGGTAACTACCCATAGCAATAACATAGTTCAGAGAACGTTGATATATTCTTCTGCCATAAGAGTGCCCGAAATGTGGTTTTCCAGGGCAAGAAAATTCAATTATCAATCTACTTGGCTGTCTCCGGAAATCTCATTACCAGATCGATCATGTTATAAATGGACGTCATGCCACCAATCTTTTTCTCCGGCCAGTAACCTTGCCTCTGAGCAACAAAGAACGGCGGTCAACAAGCACAAGGAAGGTGCGACCTCGAAAAGTTGTAATCCCAACAGATAGCCAAGTGTTTTTTTTCGACGTGCACTCCTAGTCATGCGTAACTCGATATAAGGGAACTGTTGGACGGTGGTTTAAAATACCAAACGCTACGCGCGCTGTGTGGTAGAGATAACGGTAGTTGAAGAGGGAAGCGAGAGGCATTCGAGTGAGTATGAACAACTTGATAAGCATGCCAACAGGGGTAATCCTCATAAATTCTATGAGAAAACCCGAACATACTCATGCACTGCCCAAAGTCGTGAGTGGATGATTGGATTCTCTATAGAAAAGGCGCCATCTTCTACAAAGCATGGAACTACTACGCCTACAAACGATCCATAAGTCCAGATTTCTCTAAACGAAGACCAGATAGATATTGTAGACAATTTCGTCCATTTATAAACCAGCAACAATACCATTCATATAAATATATCCCACTGCTGATTTCGATTGAAGTAATCGACTGGAGACCATTCTGGCTTTACTATGATGAAATGGAAAAAATTTAAGGTCGTGTACACATTAAGCATTACTTTTTTACTGTTAGTAATCATCACCGGAACGAAAAAATGGCTTTATGAAATTTTTGATAAAAAAAATATGAAATATTAATTAAAGATTGGAGGGAAAATCAAAGTTCGTGAGGTGGCTGATACTGTAGACATCGCAACTGAGCGGGTACAGCACTTTTTCATAAATATTTGTTCCTGCAAAAGCTCACCGTGCCTTTGATGGAACACTTTATTGTAAGCCACTTTAATAGAGTATTTTTGGCTGTTCTGCAGCAATTCGCACACTTTTTGCGACTTTCGTTTTTTTTTTTGCTTTGTTTAGATGTCCGACTCCTGCTAGCGACTGTAGAAGTTCGCTGGTGGGCTTTGTAGCATTTATTGAGAGGCATAAACTTACTGCATTTTTATTTACACTTCAGTTGCTTTTTTAACAAAAATCCATTAAAGCCGATTTTGGGTTGATAATTTATTTCGATGTGCTGCTGCTGAACTGTCAAAGCAATCAAACAGTGCGGCCAAGTAACTTCAGAGTGCTGCCAAATATTGTTTGCATGGTTGTATTTTCATAGAGATGAAATAAATTGTTTATTTCAGTGTTGAAATAAATTTCGTGTCTACTTCTTATGGTATACCCTAATTACATGAAGTGTGCGCGTGTGTGTGTGTGTGTGTGTCTAATTGGTAGGTGTAATGCAGCACTCTGCGTGATTGTCGGTTGAGATTAAAAAGTATTCATGGAATGGGATGGGGTTAAACGTGAAAGCGTATATACATACATAGTATGTACATACGAGTAGGCACATAAATACATACATAAGTACATATGTATGTGGAAAATTCAGTTCATTCATCATTTCTATAACATCATAATAATCTTGATGCCTCCTGGTGTTGGTTGGTATTTAAAAGCTAAGCAGAAACAACAATAACAACATCACAGCGGCAACAAACGGCACAATGCCATCATACCCAATCCACCATCAATGTCATGTTACAAACGTAGTTGTAATTTTTTTTGCGCTATTTCTACGAGTTGCCAGTTGCTATTGCAATTGTCTATATGCTGCCGGCAACTAACGACATTGTTGCTATAAGTAATGCAATACAAAGTCTTGCCACCTGCACCGTTCCATACATCATTCAAGCAGACATGGAGTTGCCAAGCTAACCAACAACCAACCAACCGCGCTGGCAGTATTTGAGGCAAAGCGTCAGTTAGTTAGTCAAGCATTTAGTCAATTGCTCAATCAGTCAGTCAGTCAGTTAGTCAGCTGTTGATATCTTGAAGGTTTTGTCGTTTTTCTCTGCTCCTGCACTGTCGGTTGCTGTTTTTCTGTGTTTTTTTTTTGTGTGTTCGCCTGTCGCTTGCTTGTTGCTTGAGTCATTCCGCACAACACGTCAACACGCTGTTGTTATTTTAAGGTTAAATATTTCTCGTGTGTTTTTTATTTTGCAAAATTTTTCACAGAAATTTCTTGTAAGTACAACAAAGAAAGTTGTGTTTATTTTATTTTTTGTCTTTTTATTTATTTTTTTGCTTGCAAAATTGCCACTTCACACGTTTATCCGTTAACTTTGCGGCGACTTTCCTTGGTGCTGAATTGTGTATGTGAAAATGAAAAAATTGAAAATGTAATATTTAACTCTTCGCCCCGATATAAATACGATTTACCGTTATTATGCATGCAATAAAATTTTTGTATATATCATAAGTTTTTTTTAAAGGGTGAGAAAATTCGATGACGACGCAAATTTTGACATTTCCTACAGTAATTAAATGATGTCAATTTTTGGCAGTTGCAAAAAATTCTTTGAGCACTTCCATGCAGAACTGTTACTACAATATTTAGGCTTAAGTGTAAAAATATTAGTTTAAATCATTTTTGAGCTCTACATTTTTGTTTAATTTATAAGCTAAATTTTATTTAATTTTTTTTTCGCCGCTTAAGGTCATGCGCCGATTTTATTTATGGCCTCACAGCCCAATGTAGCTTAATTTGCCAATTTTTTCCTTCTCACATAAACATACAAACTGCATGCTATCCAGCATCTTCAGTGCTTTTGCACATTTCACACACATTAATCTTTTTTATTCTGCGTCCGTCCATGCAGACAGATAGCTGTCCATCGTGACTGCCACTAGCGTTGGCGTCGCATTGGCTTATACGATTAACCATCTAAAATATACGCAACCAAGCACAGGTGTAGTGACTGAATAGATTTGATTTATTATTTGAGGTTATGTAGCGCGTTTAAAAGAGTTTAGCGCTCTTTAGTGACGGTGAACTAAAATGTAATTTTTTTCTTTTTTGTGTTTTAATATATACTTTTTAACATATTTTTTCTTTAATATATGTAATTAATGCATGTTTTTGCCACGTTTTTTTTTTTGTTATTGCAAGCTTAGTGTGTTAGTTTAAACTATTTTAAGTTGATTTTATGTTTTTTATTTAAAAACCAGTTGGAATTTCTTGGACATTTACTAGTTTGGTTATTTATTTTATGCTTGTCATATGTTGGCCTTTTTGCTGCTAGTTTAGTGTATATATGTATTTGCTTATATATTATATGCGCGCGTGTGTATTATAAAAATTAACCTTTCACTTTCTGTAAATACTTTTCCCGGCCAGACTTGCAAATGCTTGTCAATACTGCCCTTGGTAATTTCGCTTTCTTTGTGAACTTCCTCAGCTAAGTACATCGAACCAACCAACAGCTCTGATACTCGAATTATATTCTCAAGCATGCAATTCGATGCTCTTTCGATATTTTAGTTAGCATTTGAAGCACCTATAATTGTTTATTAAACTATAAGCAATGAGATTTTTTCTGACACTTCAAACATTTCCTCATCAGATATCAAAAGCAGCTATCGGAAATCGATAATAGATAAACGACTATGGGGTATTTACAATAGTTAAAACAGACTTAAAATGAAATATTTAGTTGGACACTTTTAGTTAAGCACTTTTTGACCAGTTTCAATTTTTCTTCGATTATTGTGTTGTTATTGTACTTGACCCGCTTGTTGACTACGGTTCGACTATGCGCATCAGCGGTGAGTTTTTCGCTATTTGGCCGCTCTTTGATTGCACTGACGTTACAAGAGCGTTTTCTCTGTTTTTTTCACTACCTGAATTAGACTTGCGGGACAATAATCTTGCCTACTTCTGAAATTACATTTTCCTCATCCAGTTTATCGGCTAAGTCGCTTCATTTAGCTTAAGTAGCCATTCTGTTTAGCACATATTTACATATTTAATCTCCTTCAGCTGCAGGTCTACTCTTTGTAGTAACTCTGATATTATTTTTCTAGGCATTTGATTGGGGCTTGAAAGATACTGATATGACTTGAATGATTTAAACTGCAGCCCCATTTATTGTTTATTAAACCATTCTTCTTTTGGTTTATAGACGAACCCTAATGGGTTTGAGGAAGTTTTATTAAACAATCTAAGTTGAGTAGGGATGGGTTCAAAAGCTTTTTAATTCACTGGGAGTACTCTTAAGCGCACTGTATAACAAATGAGTTGAGAATCTCGTCTCGTTACACCTTCCATTGTAAGCTTTCCGATATGATCTTCGCCAAGTTTAAACTGAACTTTAAATATTTTTTTATGGAATTAATGGTATTTAAAACCTTCTCTTTCACAATAATAGTTTCTGAGCGCGAATAGTTTTTATTAATCGAGCCAAAACATTAGCTAACTTATCTTCGCTTTTGGTTTATACGGTTTTATATTATATATTTATTAATTTTAAACTGTTATTTTTTGCTACAAAAAAACTTCATAAATATTATTTTCTTCTTTACAGCAAATTTTCGGAGCGAGCTAAGCAGTTTATAGTGAATTATAATAATAAAATATATGATTTTAATGATGATGATGTGTTTACATGACAATCGAATAATGCACATACATCTATACATAAGTGATTAACTAGCAAAAATCTATCGAGTTATTGACTGCCGATAAAAATATTAATTAAAAAAGGCAAAAGAAATTTAATAAAAAGAGTGCATAGCATTGTGTATGTGTAGAATTTAAGTGTAACTGAAAAAGGAAATTTAAATAAATTTGTTGGCAACACCTTAACAAAAATGCAAATATCAACTTTGGGAACGCAGGAAGTTGTTTATTTCGACGCGGTGAATTTCCGCGCAGAGGTGCCCCTGTACGCGCACTTACGGCTAAATATATTTCTAGATTTGTAAAGAAAAGAAGTTTTAAAGATTCGCAACAAAGATAAAGCGTCGTAATTTTGGTTTAAGAAAATTGCAAGCAGTAGATAATATTCGTTGCGTGTGAAAGAATAAAACAAGCGAACGAGCGAGTGTAGTAGACCGCGTTGCCAACTAAAGTCAAACTGTGAACACAAAATAAATGCAGCAAAATGTTTGTTATATTTATGTATAATTAAACAGATTAGAAAGAAATCTCATTAAAGCATAATAGTGTAAAATAATTACAAAGAAATAATAAACAAAAAACAACAAAAGCAACAGCTGCATATAGTGAGTAAAAAAAAAAAACACACACACACACTGAACAACGAACAAACGCACGTATGAAAACATGCCGACATTGGCGGCAAAAAATTCACAAGCCAACACAGCAATACCAGCATACCCAACAATAACAACAACAGCCGGAGCAACTGCCGTAGCAGCAGCTACCATGAATTCCGTTGGCAGTGATGGCACTGATGTTGGTAGTGGCGCAACAATAGCAACGACAATAGATACAACAAACACCAGTGGCGGCACGTTGAACCATCATTATCACCATCCGCCGGCGCCACATACAGCCGGCGCAAATGCCTTAGGCCATAATAGCGTCTTGGCAACACCTGCAACAACGTTCAGTAGTAGTGCCGTAACGTCAGCCACCGGCACCGTTGCAGCCAGTTTAGCCACATTTAACGGAAATTCAAATTTAAATGTTGCCAACGGAAACATTGGCGGCAGTGGCAATCACAGCAGCAGCAGCAGCAGTAGCAATCACAGCTATAGCCATAATAATATTGTTGTTATCGCTGGTGGCAAAAAGTCAATGACAACGCAGCATGCTGCGCAATCTCGTGAGGATGTTGCAACACCAACACAATTAGTACAACAACAAACATCACAACCACCACCGCTACCGCCGTTAACACAAACGGGCGCTGGCATACCAACAGCAGCGTTGTCGTCAATCAACAATCAGCAGTTGTCAGCAACCAACAGTCAGGGCAATCACAATCATCACAACAGCAACAGCAACAACAACAACAACAACAATGGTAGTAGTAGTGGCAGCAGCAATGGTAATATTGGTGGCAGCAACCACATGCCGCATAGCAATGGCAATGGTAACGGTAACGGCAATGGCCATGCTAATATCAACAGCATCCTCAAAGGAAGTAAAGGTGAGTGAGTCGTCTTGGTCTTTTTACATTTGAGTAGCGTAAGAATATTTGTTGTTGTTGTTGTCGGTTTTCTTTTCATTAAATATTTATGTAGCAGACTGTCGTCATTTCTAGCGGAAATTTAATATTATAGCATGCGGGCGCCTCAACATGTGTTGGGCAAATAGATCGTTCCGCAGCTTGTCTCAAGGTAGTTGTCCTCAATGTTAATACAAAAAAACAGCAAATTGATAGAATCGAACTCACACACAGAGAGATATTGCGGGGGAATTACGATTTGAGGTTATGCACCTGCGTAGATTTATTTTTAAATTTAATATTGCCGTTCCATCCACCACCTACGCCCAGCCCAAAATCGAAGGTGTATTTAATGCCACATACATGCAGATAACTCTCATAACTTATTGAAGACTATATACTAGCGACGGGTTTGAATGGGTGGACCATAAATTCCATGAGTGGGCGACAGTCATCGGTAGAATTTCTAGGTTAGAACTCCAAATTTTGAAAAATTTAAAATGGGGATACGCAGGGTAATGTCCAATCTCAGTGAAAGTGATTTCTTGATCTCATATGTCGATGACTGCTCGATATTGACTTCTAACCAGAATTTTAATAACCATTGTTGAACGGAAAACTACTAACCCAACGTTCGTTCCCATTTCTTGAACAACAAGTACCGGCTCGAATTGAATTCGTTGATAACCCATAGTTATTGGAAGTAGCTTTTGAGAGACTCTCTGTCTTATTCGACCGCGTTTGCCAACAAGGTGCAGAGCTGTAACCAAATGCTCAAGTAACCGAAAGGCCTCAAACGCCAATCACCACACTATATTTCTCAACACTTTCATTAACTCCACCAGTAAAAGAAGCCACTGAAATCCAACCACAACACATACCAGATGAAGAGGTCGAGCTGCCTTGTAAAACCCGAGTAATACTGGCAGAATTCAGCTAGTTGTGGCTTTAACTTCTACTTGCCCAGTGTACCTTGACCCCTAGTTAAATAACCTCGTAGGTAGCGACTGATTTTTCCTACTGCTAACTGCAGTTTCCCAGCAGCTATAACAAAAACAATAACCACATTTATGTATTTTCAAAATTTTAGTTTCACAATCGCATGGCTCATTAGTGATTAGACCAGTTATTAGCAATCGCTCGGCGGCTGCCCACCAACTTATTTACATATGTAATTAAAAATCTTTTGATTTTGTCATTTCCTAAAATCATTAATAACATTTTTCGAAAGCAAAGTTACTGAATTTAAATATTATAAATTAAACAAAAAATGGGCTAATCAATGACCAACGCCACGCTGACTGACTGCCTACGATTTACTAGGAAATAAATTATCCGATTTGTTTTTTGCCATGAAATCATCACCATTTCATTTTATTTCGCTTATTAAAAATTCAAGTGATTTTCGCCCGAACCTCTGCTCGGTTTTGAAGTGTGCGTTCTGAGGATTTTTCTACAAGCCGCCTCTGCATGGCTTTGGTAATGCTTTGAACACGCGATGACCAGTGGACACTGCTAACCACCCGGTCTGGTTACTGAAGCAGACTCAAAGACTATTTAATTAGACTGTGTGCTGTGTACGATGAAACTACTACAACCTCTTCATCTGTCCACTAAATCTTCCTCAACCTACAACCCCTCTTCTTTTGGCCTGAATCCAGCGCAGAAGTTCGTTTCTTGAGCCTTTAACTAGTAACTAGAGTAACTTAGGCGCAGAGCCCCTGATATAGATAGAGATGGTTCCTATGAAAACAGTATCATTGGTAGTCCAAGTAGTCATTCTCAGTTCTGGGTTGACGCTTAGACTCGTTGTCATCGAGTTTATCTAAAGAAAAGTTAACTTTGATTGGATTATATTGGTTGGTTTCTACGCCATGTGTTGTATTTGAATCCCTGTTGGTCTCTTCTAGTGCCAGATGGCGGTTCAAACGAATTTGAAGTGTACTTGGGAATGCTAACGATTCCAAAAGCACCCTGGTATGTAACTTTGAGACTTCTTCTAGTTCTTTGAACTGTGAAGTGCCTTGATAAGACCGGGCAGAGTCAGTAGAGGTGCTGCTTAACACATGACTTTTGTCGGTTTTGCTAAGTCATTCCATATCGCTCTGACTCGGGCGTTCTTTCAAATTCTTTGTACCAAGTCTCTCGGGTTTTGACAAAGATCAATCGCCATATATAAAGCGCGTTTGTCAACCACATCCAAGCAGCTGTACAATTGACTGCAAATCAAGTAGAGGGACCAAAATACATGCTAGTGATGTCTGTGAGCGGGCTCGTCGGTAAGACCAATTGCTTCATAAGGGTATTTACGGAATCCCTTTATTTTAGCTTGCTCGTGTGTCTTTTGGTTTTACCAGCTGGAATGTCTTTTGCTTCTTAAATGGGAGTATGATGCCTTGTTACGAATATGATGATTGGGGGTAAGCATGTGCTTTATATTTCGGTCATTAAAAAATTGATCTACCTGGCACCTAGTTTTCGCAGCTGGTTGTCATTATGTCCCGTTGTTGTTGCAGCCTAGGAGCAGACAAAATCATTGAACGAGGTCGTCTAACGGGAGGTCGTCTACAGTCTGTCTTAACGCCCTCGAACCAGGGGTAGAGGGTTGTTGAATGAGTTGGTTTTAGAGTACATATAAAGATACGGTTAGTGTCTTGCGAGGACTCATGCCCAATTTACTTAGGTTATGTCAGGCTCAAGTCTGGATAGGTAGTAATTAAGTCTACTACAATATCCAGACCTTAAATGAGTCTGATCTGCTATAGATAGTGGTGGTATTCCGAGTACACCATTCACGGGTAGAGAGTTTATGAAAATGTTACCAGATTCTTCTTGAATGACGCTTAAAGCCACTCGTTATGAGCTTCTGTCCAGAGGTCCATTTCTAAGTACTTACTTGTCAATTTCTCACTTCCAGATGTGCCTAGATGATGGTTCAACTTGCAGTAATTGTCTGTTGGTATGAACCGCGTCGCTAGTAGCGGTGTTTTTTTCACTCTATGACGTTCTAATTACACAACACAAACCCCTAAAAGGGGGTTTTCGTACCATAACAGGGGCGACAATCTTTGGGGTTTTTCAGCAAACAAGGCCGTCAAAGTCAAAATCTTGTATTAGAGTCCTGTCACTGTGTGCATGGGCAAAGACGGAACAAACCAATTGCCTCTAAGCATCAGCTTTGTTCCTTACATACTCAGTGCCGTGCCTCCGAGCTAAGTATCTTAAGGAGGTAGAAAACACGCGAGAAGATGGAATTATGGCACGAAGCAAAGTCTCTTGAATAAATCAAGTGTAATTTCGATTAAACTTGAGTAATCTACTGGTGAGGGGGTTTGCTAGTTGAGACTAGGCATTTCGTTACCGAATCAGTGCCTCTCTAATACCCATCAGGCTACTTTTTCTCTTGACGCGATGACCATACACAATAAATACTACAATTACCGTTAGTAAAACTACAGTTACGACAGCTTTGTTCTCTTTCGTTGCTATTTTTCCCATTCCCTTGTCGCCTCCACACTCATTCATTGCTATCCATTTGTGGTTAAAATGTCATTGCCGCTTTTCAATTGCTTTCTTATTTACAACGCGCTTTTATTTTCCAAACACCAAAGTCACAACGCGGACTTGGTTTGTTTACTGTAAACTGTCCGCGCTTGCCCGCGCGCTCAGCGCTCATTGTAAAGCATTGTGTGGTTCGTGATACGTTCTAAACATGCGTTCGATGTGAATAAAGTGTGGGCTGACGCTCAAATCGGCGTGCATACCCACCAACCGGCCACCAGCTAGCCACCAACCGGCCACCAGCGACCGGACACAAAAAAATAAAAAGTCAAGCAGCGATGCGTAAATTCAATGTCGACTCACCGTGGACACTGGCGTGGGCAGCGGTGATTTTTTCCTTTCGCTTATTTCATTACCTTTCATTAGTCATATGGGTTCATGTCGTCTGTTTTTTTCTTTTTTAATTTCCAACGTGGCTACACATATGCGCTGCTGGTAAGCGGGGAGAAGGACAGAGGGAGAGTGAGAAAGGGAACACGCTTTTTCGGTTAAAGAGGCCAATGAACCCTTTCATTTTCGTTGTTGCCCTTAAATTCGGTTTCTTTTTCCTCTTTCTTTTTGACTTTTCGTTTTTCTTGTGGAATTTCTTTTACCCTGACCTCTTGGTTTTTGGTAATTTCTTTGCGCTGTTGGCTTTTATGTTTACTCAATTACATAATATTTTTAGTTGCAGTGCGCTCTGTTTATTTCAAGTCTACAGTGTTTAAAGAAGTAAAAAGAGGCAAGTAAATTAATAAAAAATCTGTAGATATTATTTGATGCCTAAAGCCCAATGTCAGTTCAGTACGAGTTCGGATATTCAGACGGAAATAATGAGAATAAACTTCAGACTTCGCTTCGAGAGTAAGCTAAGTTCTATCAGTCGAGCCTTCTATAGTTCTTGAAGGCCATGCATCTTTTAGGCCAACCGGTCGGCCACACAAACATTGATTGATCGGTTTCTAAGTTCTAATCAGATTCTATGCAATTAACTGACGACAATGACGAAAGAGGAGCTGACACGATGGGAGTGAGAAAGAGGATGGTCGATTCGCAATCGAACGCAATGTAAATGCTATCTGAAAGAGCGAGCTCTTGGGTATGGACGAAGAGCTTGGCCATAGGAGAAATTCTGGAAAATTCTACAAGGAAATGAAGCGACTTATAGATGCCCAGCTGTGATTTGACAAGCGACACTCAGACCATATTGCATTTATAAAGAGACCACTCCTCTTCGCCGACTTGATAGTACATCTGGATACGGCAAACTCGCAGCCCCAAACGATAATCTTATTGCGGACGTTCCAATATCCGACTGCGTCAATTGTTTTGGCACAAGCTTTCCTTTTATCGCTTATAAGATCCTTTCTGGATGTGGCTTTAAGATCCAAGAAAAAACCTATGGGAAGAGAGTCGTCAAACGTCACCATCAAACATGAAAG